GAATTAAAGACGCCATAACAGCCATCACCCTTGTCGCTTTGGGTACAAGTCTGCCCGATACGTTCGCCTCGAAGATCGCTGCTGAGAACGTAAGTGTTGGCTACGGTTTACTCGATAGGTTGTCGCATTCCATTAATGTTTCAGGATGACACCGCCGATAATGCAGTCGGAAATGTGACTGGATCGAACTCTGTGAATGTTTTCCTTGGTCTTGGTCTTCCATGGTTGGTAGCTTCGATCTATTGGGCTTCAAAGGGTGAAAGCTTCGCTGTTCCGGCTGCTGATCTCGGTTTCAGGTACGTTTTCAGAGTATATGTGAGGTACATATGCCTGGTGTCCCTGAAGGCAAAGTAGGTTTCAAAAACAAAGAGGAAGTGGAGATTGACAAAATTAATTCGGTGCTTCTCCAACTAGGTATCAAACGGACGAGTTTCACGACCTTCCGTTTTTCATTGAGTGAACAATTTATCTAAAAAAAGTCGACAGTTTTTCAAATAGTATTTGGACTCTCGAGCGGGTTGGATCGATGAGTGGGCGGGATATATTTGGTGATGTAGACAAGTGGTTGTGACCAGTCTACTTCCAGATAAGGTTAAAAGGGATCGGTCGTTCTGTTTGTGTAACTTATTTACAGAAAAACTGGACCTGTATTTATAAGCTTCAATCGCTGTTCTCTTTCAGCGTCACGGTGTTCATGTGCTGTTCAGTGGTGTTTTTGGTTGTGCTGATGCTACGACGCACTTCAGCCATATTCGGTCGAGGAGAACTCGGCGGACCTGTTGGACCAAAATTTGCATCAGGCCTCTTTTTTGTTCTGCTTTGGCTCGTATATGTAGCGTTGTCGATTTGGAATACGTACAGGAATTGACTAACGTAATGTTCAAGTTCATCTCTCATTCTTTATCTGCTTTAATTGAATTCACTTATCAGAATGGAAAACATTCCACTTTAAACATCTCAAACTGTTTTTTGTACTGTTTTCTTAGATTTATTCACAATTGAGTCGATCAACTAGACTATCTTTGGTTCAATAGGTAAACTCGAACCACCAAAGGGTCAACGCATGCCGACGAGATATCGATCCATCGGCTTAAGCTGTAACGCAGCCGTGCGCGTAACTGTTGCGTAAT